GCTATGTTCCCAGTCCCTACACAGGTCTGCTTGCTTGTCTGTCTGTTTTTGAGACAGGATTTCTCCGAGTAGCCCTAGCTGTCCTGGAATTAGCTCTGTAGACCAGGCTGGCATCAAACTCACAGAGATCCGCCTGCCTCTGCCTTCCAAGTGCTGGGATTAAAGGCGTGTGTCACCAATGCTCATAACCACTTCTTTTTGATATTGAAATTTCCTATTATGGATTTGGGTTATCTTTCCATTGATATAGGCCTTCTTGGTTTTGTACAATTTGTTTATTTATATGTATGTATACCCATACATTTCAGAGTGCCTATAGAAACCTTGTCTCGAAAAACTAAAACAAAGTTCAAGGCCAGTCTAGACCACATGAGTTCCTACTTCAAAATATAAATGAACAATGAGGGCTGCAGAGATGGCTCAGAGGTTAAGAGCATTGCCTGCTCTTCCAAAGGTCCTGAGTTCAATTCCCAGCCACCACATGGTGGCTCACAACCATCTGTAATGAGGTCTGGTGCCCTCTTCTGGCCTGCAGGCATACACACAGACAGAATATTGTATACATAATAAATGAGTATTTAAAAAAATAAATAAATAAATAATGAATATAAGGTTTACTACAAATTAAGGAAGACTGTTTAATTTGCTACAACTTCTGTCATGTAGGGGTGTTTAATTCAATGGTTTTTTTTTTAATCTCTTCTTTTTTAAAGATTTATGTTTACTTTTTATTTATGTGTATATGTGTGTATCTGCCTGAGTTTATGTGTGCCACATGCATGCAGGTGCCTGCAGAAGTCAGTAGAGGGCATCAGATCCCTTGGAACCGGCAGTTGTGAGCCAGCTGATGTAGGTGCCAGGAACTAAACTCTGGTCCTCTGCGAGAGTAATACGTGTTCTTAGCTGCTGAGCTGTCTTTCCAGCACCGAATCAAATGCTTTTAAGGCCATTCTTATTTTGAATGTAAGACAGAACTATAGAGATAGCAAAGCATAAAATACAGTGAGGATTTAGAGGGAGAGTAAGAGTACCCACATTGTGTGATCTCCATATGAAAACAGCTTTGAATGTAGTTCAAAAGACACCGCTTCCCACCCAATTATAGGTCTCATTCCTCACCAGTAGAGGGCAGTATAATGACTTTTATAAAAATTACTTCCTTGATATATATATATGGTCTCTCTGTTACAGGTAATGCAGTGCAGGTGTGTGGGTTCACACAGGTCCATGGAATGAAGACTCAGAGACACTTTGAGAATAAACTTAACCTTTGCAACCACAGGGGTCCCCAGTCTCTGTGGACTGAAGCCCTTTCCCTTAGGCCTATGGCAATTTTAAAATAAAGTGTAATGTTTACACTTTAGCTAGTGGATTTCCATATCAAAACAAATTGAAGTTTCCAAAAACACAATGCCAGGTGCAAATACCTGATTCATGAGGTACCTTGGTTTTCTGGGTTTCCTCTGACCAAGTTTTGCATAGGCTTTGTATCCATGGGAAACTCTCAGAGATTCACATAGGGCAACAAAAGGTATCTGTAACACAAAGGAGCTAGGCCAGGTGTGGTCCAGCGGGGGCTGGGGGTGGGGTGTCATGGCTAGCGGTTACTTGCTGACCCTCTGGCGCCAGGCCATCATGAATTTCTGTCACAGGTCTAACTGTATAGCTCTGGTTGTTCTGGAACTCGCTCAGAGTCAGGAAACAACTAAATTTGAGGGCAATCTGGGACAGTTGTGTTGAAAAACAGAACGTTTAACCACTAGTCGCCTCATTATCCGTGTAGATGAGTCTCTTTGTTGTGTCCCAATCAACATTCCGTGTTTTCAGGCTTTAATTTTAGCAGCTCTGGTGCGGACAATGCTACTTATTGTGGCTGGAATTTGCATTTCCATCACTGCAAATGAAATTGAGGAACTTTTCTCCTGTTTGTTGACCTTGCAGATTTCTTTTGTGCAGTGTTGGTTCCAACCTCTAGTTCACGGTTGTAACTTTATTGTTAAGGCTTTCTCTTTTGTTTTTCTTGTTCCTGTGTGGTTCTTTATGCATCCTGGACACATCTTTAAATAAGGATAAGTATACTGAAGCATTATCTTTCCTTTCTCTTTGCAGCACAGGGGATTGGACCTGGGGCCTCATCCTGATCACATCTTGTTGTTAGCCATGCGTCTGTGTGTGCGCTGTATGTGCCTGCCAGAAAAGAACCTTGGGTGTCACCCCTCAGGAGCCATCCACCTGTTTTGAGAAGAGGTCTCTCATTGGGCTAAAGCTTGCCAGTTCTGCTGGCCCTAACTGGTCAGGGATCTCCAGGGATCTCCCTGTCTCCATCTCCAAAACTAGGGTTACGAATCCATGCTACTGTGCCCAGCATTGTTTCACGTGGGTACTGGGTATTGATAAAGTCAATACATGCGTGTGTGGACGCACTCTACTGGCTGGGCCATCTCCCTAGTCCCAGATTCTTCTTCACAGCGGTGGTCCTCCTTAGACAGGGTCATGCAGAGTCCAGCTGGCCTCAAACACTAGGTATCCAAGACGATCCTCCCGTCCCAGTCTTGTACCACCAAACGGTTTATGTGGTACCAGGGATTGATCCCAGTGCTTTGTAAATATTAGGCAAACACTCTACTGACTGACCTATATCCCCATCTGGTGGCTTGTCTTTTGATGAACAAATGTTGCCAAATGTATCCGTCTTTTCACCTAATAGTTGGAATGAGTATTAAATGCTCCTCACTTGCATTTATACCAGACTAGAATCCAGAAGCAGAGGAAGAGGGCCAGAGGATTCCTGGCCAGGAAGGACTACAGATAGAGACAACCTGTTTCAAAGAGCAAAAATAAATACTTCTCTGTCTTGAATTCATGGGTCTATTCTTCTAAATTATATCTTAAAACCTTTTATATTTACTCTATAATGGACTGGGAATAGATTTGTGGTAAGGATTCAATTATATCTTTCTCATATATATCCAGTTCTCAAAATCAGTGAGAAGTTCGTTATTTCTTTTCTGCACGAAAGGGCACAGAGTCACAAAGTCATCTATATTTGTGGATCTGATCTAGGCTACTATGATTCAGTGTCCATCTGTCTTTATGAGTATAAATAGTATGCTTTCTTTGTTGTTGCTTTCGAGACAGGGTCTCTCTGTGTAGCCCTGACTGTCCTGGAATTGGCTCTGTAGACTACATTAGCCTCCTGAGTGTTGGGATTGAAGGTATGCACCACCACCACCCAGCAATGCTTTCTCTTTGTACTGGAGACTGAACTAGGGCCTCACATATGTTAAGCATGCAGTCTACTACAGAACTATACTACGGTCTTGTATGTCACAGTAAATGCCTTGGTATCTGATAAAGCTAGTGTTTATATCTTGATCCTCTTTCAGAATATCTCCTTGGGAACAAGTGAGATGGCTCAGTGGGTAAAGGCACTTAACCACATGGTAGAAGGAGAGAACCAGCTACTGAAAGCTGTTGTCTAACTTGTACAAATCCATTGTGGTACATGTGCACTCACACATGCACAAGTAAATGTAAGTTTAAAATATTCTTGACTTTCTATTTATTTCCATGTACCTTTGTAGACGGAGGCTGCTCGTTTGTTTCCGGCCACACAGACCCAGAATAATCACACAGAAGCTGTATTATTATAACACTGCTTGGCCTATTAGCTCACACTTCTTATTGGCTAGCTCTTAAATCTTAAATTAACACATTTCTATTAATCTGTGTATCGCCACATGGTTGTGGCCTACTGGTGAGGTTCCATCCAGTGTCTCCTGAAGTGGCTACCTGGCTTCTCTCTGGCTCCACCTACTCTCTCCTCCTCTATCTGATTGGAATTCCCACTTACCCTAAGTGGTTATTGGCTGTGCTACAATAGGTCCAAAGTAGCTTCTTTATTAACCAATGGTGTTCACAGCATACAGACGGGAATCCCACATCATCTCACACTGTAGGCTGGCCATGAACTCAGAACGATCCTACCTTGACGAATGTTGGTATGATAGGCACGAGTCATCATGTCTGGCTTCAGACAGTCCTGATACCTCCAGTTTTCACAATTCAGGATTCATATTTTGCTGATAGCTTTGGTATCAGTTAATAAGTGATGCTGACTTACAATAGTTTCTAATCTAATTTGATCTTTGTCTGATTTTATCAAAATATTTCTGGAAATTTTTTTATAAAACTTAAATGATCTTCACTCTTTTTAAGTGTCGGCCTTACCTGTAATGGCTGAACCACCCGCTCCAGCCCATGAGGCACAATTTTAAAATTTTGTAAATTTACTTTTACGTTATTATTTTGGATTTTTCTTCCTGAACTTGTAATCCTTTTTCAGTCTCCCAACTCTTGGATTTATAGGAGTAATTCTGACTGTAATGTCATTTTCTTTTTAAGGTTTTAGGTTGGTGTGGTAGTAAATGCTTTAAATCCCAGAACTTGGAGGCAGAGGCAAGTTGATCTATAAGATTTAAGCCAGCCCGATCTACCAAATGAGTTCCTGGACAGCTGGGCTGTTATACTGTTATACACACACACACAAAATTGTATAAGGACTGGGGAGAGGTTAAGAGCAGTGGCTGCTCTTCCAGAGGACCTGAGTTCAATTTCCAGCAACAACATGCTTACTCACAACCATCTGTAATGAGATCTGGTGCCCTCTTCTGGTGTTCAGGTAGAACACTGTAAACATAATAAATCTTTAAAAAAATTTTATGAGACCCAGGCCAGCCTGGTCTACAGAGCAAGTTCCAGGACAGCTAAGGCTACACAGAAAAACCTTGTCCTGAAGAAAAAAAATTGCATGTGTATTAGTATTTTGCCTGCATGTGTGTACGTATACCGTGTGCATGTGTGTGTATGTACATCGAGTGCGTGTATGTACATTATGTGTGCATATGTACATCATGTGCACGTGGTGCCCGTGGAGGCCAGAGGAGGGAGTGTTGTTTTTTTTTTAAAGATTTATTTATTTATACAATATTCTGCCTCGATGTATGCCCGCACGTAAGAACAGAGCGCCAGATCTCAGTACAGATGGTTGTGAGCCACTATGTGGTTGCTGGGAATTGAACTCAGGACCTCTGGAAAGAGCATCCAGTGCTCTTAACCTCTGAGCCATCTCTCCAGCCCCAGACGAGGAAGTGTTGACTGAATTTTCTGTCCTGCCTGGTTCCCGCAGTCGTCAAGTCCCAAAGAAACACACAGAGGTCTACATTAATCATAAACTGATTGGCCTATTAGCTCAGGCTTATAATTAACTCTTATAACTTATATTAACCCATAATTCTTGTCTGTGTTTGCCACGTGGCTTGGTACCTTTTTCGGCGAAGCAGTCACTTCTTGTTTGCTCTGTGTCTGGGTGACGACTGCAGACTGAAACTTCCCTCTTCCCCAAATTCTTGTTGCCCCGCCTATACTTCCTGCCTGGCTACTGGCCAATCACCATTTATTTAAAATACAAGTGACAGAGTACAGACCATTGTCCTACAGCAAGGGGGCATCAAAACCCTCTGGAACTGGAGTTAGACAGCTCCGCTGACATATTGGTGCTGGGACAGAACCCAGGAACTCTGCAAGAATAGAGAGTGCTCTTAACCACTGAGCCATATCCCCCATGATACCATTCTTAAAACTCTTTTTCTTTTACACCTTGCATCTAATCCATTTGCAAATAATGTTCCCTCCACTTTTAAATTCAGAATCTGGCTATTCATTTCTACTGCTTCCGCTTGGTCCATATCATTGTCATCGTTCACCCAAACACTGTAGTTGATCTGTTTCTGTCTGTATAGCTATCACAATAGTAGTTTAAAATTTTTGTAATACCCATGTGTAGATTAAAGTGTGAGCTTTAATCTCAGCACTACGGAGGCAAAAGCCGGTGGATTTCTGTGAGTTAGAGAATAGCCCACTGTACATAATGAGTTCCAGGACAGTCAGAGCTACATAGTGAGACCCTCAAAAAAATAAATAAATAAAAATAAAAAAAGACCCCATAATATTATTTGGACATAAATCTGTGGGGTTCTTTTCTTTAAAAAACTACTTACTTGCTGGTTGGTGGTGGCGGCACATACCTTTAATCCCAGCATTCCAGAGGCAGAGGCAGGCGGATCTTTGGGAGTTCGAGGCCAGCCTGTTCTACAAGAGCTAGTTCTAGGACAACCTCTAAAAAAAGCTAGAGAAACCCTGCCTTTAAAAACAAAAAACAAACACAATGGGTGGTGGTGGCACAGGCCTTTGATCCCAGCACTTGGGAGGCAGAGGCAGGCAGATCTCTGGGAGTTCGAGGCCAGCCTGGTCTACAAGAGCTCGTTCCCGGACGGGCACCAAAGCTACAGAGAAACCCTGTCTCGAAAAACAAAAAAACAAAACAAAAACAAACAAACAGGGGCTAGAGAGATGGCTCAGCGGTTAAGAGCATTGCCTGCTCTTCCAAAGGTCCTGAGTTCAATTCCCGGCAACCACATGGTGGCTTACAACCATCTGTAATGAGGTCTGGTGCCCTCTTCAGGCCTGCAGACATACACACAGAATATTGTATACATAATAAATATTAAAAAAAAACCTACTTACTTCCCTTTAATCCTAGCACTTGGGAAACAGAGGCAGGCAGATCAATGTAAGTTCAAAGCCAGCCTGGCCTGCAGAGCAAGTTCCAGGACAGCAAGGGTTGTTACACAGAGAAACCCTATCTCAAAAAACAAAAAAGGAAAAAAAAAAAAAACAACCAACCAAACACTACATACTTTCATTTTGCTTCTCATAAGTGTATATATGTATACCACATGTATGTCTGGTGCCTCGTGGCCCATTCAATTACCTGAAACTAGAGTTACAGGTGCCTGTAGGTGCTAGGAATCAAACCCAGGTCTTCTCCAAGAACAAGTGTTTTTAAATTCTGAATCAGCTCTCTAGCCCTAGGATTACTTTCTTGACTAATGATTTATGGGGTAGGGCCTGGCCCACTGTGGGTGATAACAGCACTGGGCAAGAAGTCCAGGAAGGGTGCAAGAAAGGTGTTGAATGTGAGCCCTGAAAGCAGCATCCTCACGGTGTCTGTTCATCTGGACACTAAGCCAAATAAATTCTTTCCTCCTCAAGTTGTTTTGATTCCGAGGCCAGCTTGAGCTACAGTGTGAGAGACCCTGTTTAAAAAAAAAAAAAATTCTTAATCTCGGGTGGTGGTGCACGCCTTTAATCCCAGCACTCGGGAGGCAAGGCAGGTGGATTCCTGAGTTACAGGCCAGCATCTGCATAGGAAATTTACATAGGAAATTTCAGGATAGCCAGAACTACTACATAGTGAGAGTGTGTCTCAAAACAGACAAGCAAAATCCTTGCAGAAATCCTAGAAGGCAAAGCCAGATGTACTGGTACACATCTGTAATCCCATCACTCGGGAGGCAAGGCACAAGAATAGAAAGTTCATAGAATGACCTTGTACCTTGAGAGAGTATCAGAGACCTAGAGATACAGGCTTTCAAAGTAACCTGTGAGACAAAGGAACACAGAATCCAAGTGCATGCGTGTCTGATTCCAGCATTCCCTAAAGAATGCGAGGCATTACATGTTTGTAATCTAGCACTTGGGAGGCTAAAACAGTATCTTAGGTTCAAAGGCAGACTGGGCTATAGAGTTCCAGGCCAGTGTGGGTTATATATTGATCTGAGAGTGTTGGGGAGAGGGAGAGAAAAGGATTAGGACAGAGGGCAACAGGAAGGAGAAATGAGAAGTAATCTGATTCTTGATTCGCCTTAAACCACCTGTTCAAAAACAACTTGAAAGCCAGGCAGTGGTGGGGCGCGCCTTTAATCCCAGCACTTGGGAGGCAGAGGCAGGGGGATCTCTGTGAGTTCAAGGCCAGCCTGGTATACAAGAGCTAGTTCCAGGACAGGTTCCAAAGCTACAGAGAAACTGTGTATCGAAATTCAAACGCTCAAAATATAACTTAATGATTACGTGTGGTAACCACAACCAAAAGTCTGGTCACGCAGTACAGCTCTGAAAATTTAACGAAAGAAAACCTGACCAATACACCCCACTCCCTTACTATTTGGGGTTTTGTTGTTTCCTTTTGGGACAGGTTCTCACATAGCCCAGGAACTTGCTATGTAGCTGAGGCTGGTTTTGAACTCCCGATCCCCCTGCCTCTCTACCTCACAAATGCAAGGAGAGGAGGCATGTGCCACCAATCCCAGCTCCTTTACCTTTTAAAAGTTTTTCTTTTTCTTAAAAACACGAGTGGTTGGGGCTGGAGAGATGGCTCAGCGGTTAAGAGCATTGCCTTCCAAAGGTCCTGAGTTCAATTCCCAGCAACCACGTGGTGGCTCACAACCATCTGTAATGAGGTCTGGTGCCCTCTTCAGGCCTGCAGACATACACAGAATATTGTATGCATAATAAATAAATAAATAAATAAATAAATAAATAAATAAATAAATAAATAAATCTTTTTTTAAAAAACACGAGTGGTTGAGCTACCTAAACTATGACTACCGCTAATTTCGTCGCATTTTCCTCCTCTCTCCATATATATTGCGTCTTCTCGCCTGCCACTGAAGCTCAAGTCGCCGCAGAGACTTCGTGCCGCCCTCTCCCCTCCTGCAGCACCCGAGCGGCCCGCGACCCAGGATCTCCCCCGAGCTGGGGTTTCCTCAGCGCCCCGCTTGCACCGCTCTGACACCCATAAATCTTATCTACAGAGCGGAAGAGCGCACGTTCCCGGGCCGTCGGAAAGCGGAAGCAGTCCACAGCCGCCGGGAACCCGCCTCCCGAAAGCGGAAGTACGGCCATAGAAGCTGGCCGGAGACGCGGGCGGCTAGAGCGACCCTGCGGGAGGCCGCAGGAAAGACTGGCAGCAGCTGCCGGAGGTGACGGAGCGGCCGCCCCGCCCCTTGCGCTGGAAGACGAGGCTTCCAGGTAGCCGCCGCCGCAGTCTGTTCCAGGGTACGACCCGGCCTTGGGCGCGGACCCGCCGTTCCGGGGCTGCCGCTTTAAGGGAGGGTGGAGCCACTAGTGAGGAGTGTGGAGGTGAGGTCACGTGGTTGCGGGCACGTGCAGGACACGAGTTCAGAGCTGGGGGTGCGTCGTCGTTGGGGTGGACACCATGTGCCACCGCTTCCCTCACCGCCTATTCTGTTTTGGGGCTCAATGGGGTGCACGTGGTGGGGTTTGGGATTAGGCCCCGGATTGGGGGACAGGGTGGGCGTGGCGGACTTTAAGGAACCCTAGAGTTGAGTTTTAGACCCCCTTGACCTGATTTCTCAGTGCATTTGTGCCTTAGTGCCTCTGGAGTGCATGCAGTTCCCTGCCCTTGAGCTGAGCAGGTCCTGACAGCGCCCAGGGACCTTTAGCTTCACGTTCCTCTTCCCTTGCAGCTCCAGACAACTTGAAGCCAGAGCCCCGCACCTCGGTGCAGCCATGAGTGCCGAGGTGAAGGTGACAGGGCAGAACCAGGAGCAGTTTCTGCTCCTGGCCAAGTCGGCCAAGGGGGCAGCGCTGGCCACACTCATCCATCAGGTGCTGGAGGCCCCTGGTGTCTACGTGTTTGGGGAACTGCTGGATATGCCCAATGTTAGAGAGGTGGGTTGCTTGCGTGGGGAGTCCACGGAGAACCTTGGGCCTGAAGTTTCTTTTAAGCGTGGGCCTGTTTTGTAATCAGTAACCAAGCAGGTGAACAGGGTACTGATAATTAACCATCAATCAAATAAAGGTCTGCGCTTCTCTTTGGAGACTGGGGATCTATAAACTTAATGCCCCTCCCTTTGTACACACACTTTTTGAGATGGGGTTTCACTGTGAAGGCTTGACTGCCCTAGGCTGGTGTCAGTCACCGCCTGGCTTGCCGTGGGACTCGTGACAATCTTCCTGCCTGTGCCTTGTGCAGAATTTAAATTTTTTGTTATTTAAAAACGTGGAACATTTCTCGAACTTGAGTGTCATATACCACCACCACCCAGCTGGATTTTTAAGTTTTAGGCAAAAGAGCAGGTCATTCAGGATGCTACTTGTAAGTTCCAGCTTTTCCACCAGTGTGATACCTTTTAATAATGTCACCAGCAGGGTGGTGGTGGTGCACACCTTTAATCCCAGCACTCAGGAGTCAGAGGAAGGTAAGTTCGAGGCCAGCCTGGTCTACAGAGTGAGTTTTAGGATGGCCCGGGCTGTTTCACAGAGAAGCCCTGTCTCAATAAACAAAAACAAAAATCATGTCACCTTGATCAGAGAAACCATATTAAAAGGCTCAGTTTTCTCTTAAAAATGGTGACAAGAAGCTGGAACATAACTCCACTGATAGAATGCTTGCCTACTTACTGTGCATGGGACCTCAGGGTCCGTTTCAGAACTTGGGGTGCTAAGGCAAGGGCATCACAAATTTTAGGCCAGCCTGGGCAACTTAGACTCCACCTCAAAAAGGAGTAGGGATGTAGCTCAGTGAAAGAGCCTTGTCTGTAGTATGCGAGGCTCTCTATGGGTTGAATTCTCAGAACTGAAAAAGGAAAAACTTTGCCGGTGGTGGTGATGCATGCCTCAATCCCAGCACTTGGGAGGCAGAGGCAGGTGGGTCTCTGTGAGTTCAAGGCCAGCCCTGATCTACAGAGAGAGTTCCAGGACAGGCACTAAAGCTACACAGAGAAACCCTGTCTCTTGAGAGAAAAGAGAGAGAGAGAGAGAGAGAGAGAGAGAGAGAGAGAGAGAGAAAAGCCTAAGAAGCAGTGTTCCTCACAGTTACAGAAGCAAAATTGTGGGAAAGTCTAAAATCTCCTAAAAATAGAAAGAATAAACATATTATCATGTTACCCCCCCAAGTGTCCCATATACTAATTCATTTAAGGTAGATAATGAGAAAATCACTCTGAACACAGCAGAGAACCACTCACAGAAATGACCGAGCAAACAGATTGTCCATGCTGTGGCCCCAGCCTGTGTCCTGAGAGGCTGATAGCAGGGTGTGGCTAAACCGAGCTGTTTTAGAAGGCCTGTGGTTGAACCGGAGGATGTAATGGTTTTTGGTTGCTGTTCCATAGACAACTGGCTATCTTTTGTTCCTGATTTTATCTACAGTGAACTAAGTTGAGGAAACAGTTCCCAATTGCCTAACAGTGTTTAGTATTCTGCAAAGTGCAAGCTACCAGGCTTGCCCTTCAAGCTTGTATTCAGTTAAAGAGATCAGATAAGTGGATGAAAATGGGCAAGTCGGTTATTTAGCAAGCGTTTACTTCGAGGGCCATGGCTCTGCTGCATCCTTGTAGGCCAGCAGATGCTGGGGCTGTAGCCTTGTTAAAAGGTTCTGTTCAGTGAGAGTCTGCATGGATGCCGTGCCAGAGTGAGTGAGGGGTGGTATGAAACTAGTGGATGATGTATGACCCTCTCACTGAGGACGGTCTGAAACAGGTCACAAATCTGTGACCTCTGGGGGCCAAAATAGAGTAATTTATAATGTCTGATGTCTGCGTGTGATCCTCTGAACACTGAATGTTTTCAACCCTGATTTAGAGTAAGAATTCAATGTGTAGCATGTCAAAGGGCTAGAAGTAGAAGTGAGTGAGCCCATAGAGCAAGGGTGTATATTTGGAGACATAGAGAAAGCCTCTTGGTGAACCAGGATAGGTTTTTTTGAAGGACGGGGTCAACAAGTTGAGTTCCAAATAGGTCCTTCCTGTCACTTCCCTTATGTTCTTGCAGTTGGCAGAAAGCGACTTTGCCTCCACCTTCCGGCTGCTGACAGTGTTTGCCTATGGGACCTATGCTGACTACTTAGGTAACTAGGGGCTGGAGCCGTCATGCTGTGGGGGCAGGAGAAGGGTGGCTTCTGAAGAGACCTGGAAGAAACTCTTGGGGTGCCCTACTTAGATGCCATAAGTGAGCCGGGCAGCCTAAGATCGTGATGGTGCAGAAAACTTGGAAGAAACTGCTAATAATAAGACTTCTGGGCTTCTGTTCCTTTCCTAGCTGAAGCCAGGAATCTTCCCCCACTTACCGAGGCTCAGAAGAATAAGCTTCGACATCTCTCAGTTGTCACTCTGGCTGCCAAAGTCAAGGTAAGTGACAGTCCTGAAGCCTGCCATCCTATTGTCTGTTCCTGGGAGAGCCATTGACCTCCCTCTGGCTCGGTCAGTACCAATGCTCCATTACTGCAGTCAGTTAGGGGTGATAGTCTCTTAGTGTGGACCTGAGTTCTAAGTCATCATCTCTTGTGTTTGGTGTCAGACTAGCCACCAGGACAGTGTCCTGTTTATCACCATACAGAGTTCTAGGGCTCAGAGCTGGAGATGGGGTTCTTCTTCCATGAAGCAAGCACCAGGCTTCTGTTTGCTAAACTAAGACGTGTGTATCTCAGAAGTATCCCTGTGGTCGCAGCCTTTTGTCACAGTACATCATGTCTCCCTAGTCATCTCTCCCACTTGCTCACTAGAATTGAGCCCTGGTGATTTTTGCTGGAGTCAGGCTCATAGTTGTGGATGCCTTGACTAAGTCTGTGTGCTAAGCACAGTAACTCCAGACCCCTCCTATGATCCTCTGATGTAATACAATACCCTTAGCTACTGCCAAAGAAATGGCACCAGGAAGATGTCATACTCTGGCTGTGCTGTAGAAGGTGAGGGCTAGTAGGAGAGCATCTGTCATATGTTTTAAGAGGGTCTTTTTTTAAAAAATATTTATTTATTTATTTATTGTGTATACAATATTCTGTCTGTGAGTGTGTCTGCAGACCAGAAGAGGGCACCAGACCTCATTACAGATGGTTGTGAGCTACCATGTGGTAGCCGGGAATTGAACTCAGGACCTTTGGAAGAGCAGGCAATGCTCTTAACCCCTGAGCCATCTCTCCAGCCCCTAAGAGGGTCTTTTTTGAGTCTGGTGTTGTGTCTCATGTCACCTGAGCACTTAGGAGGCTGAGGCAGAAGGATTAGTGTGAGATCAAGTCTAGCCTGTACTACATAGTGAGTTCCAAACCAGCCTGGGCTGTAGCATGAGAACCTGTGTCAAATACCAGAAAAGAAAAGAAAGAAAAAAGGGTATTCTTTTTTGCTGGTGTTCTTGGGATGGTACCACGTCTTGCTTTAGAACTAACTTTTTCTAGGAAATGGTTTAAGGTTAGGAGATGAAGGCAGGTGGGACTCGGCCTTGTGGGGAAAAGAGGAGAGGATTATGGAAAGACCTTCCCTGCTTTTGAACCCTTGTCTGCTCCTGGCCCCAGTGCATCCCATATGCAGTGTTGCTTGAGGCTCTTGCCCTTCGGAACGTGCGCCAACTGGAAGACCTTGTGATTGAGGCTGTGTATGCCGATGTCCTTCGTGGCTCCCTGGATCAGCGCAATCAGCGGCTGGAGGTTGACTACAGTATTGGGCGAGACATCCAGCGCCAGGACCTCAGTGCCATTGCCCGAACCCTGCAGGAGTGGTGAGAACTTGTCAGGCCTTGACTGCTTCCTTATACAAGAAGGAGAGCACAGGGCTGGGCTGCAGAGGGTTAGCCCAAGAGGAGAGAAAGAGACCAGCACTTTCCTCCAGAGGCTTCCGAGGGAACAAGCTTGACAGGGATGCTGGGTGCTAAGAGGCAGGATTGTTGGGGCAGTAATTGGGGAAGGGAAAGGGAGCGGTGCTCTTGAGGTTTCTTAGTGGGAGGCTATTGCTGTCATAGGCTGAATTTAGTACAGTGGCACATAGCACCATGGGTTATGGGTCTCTGTCTCCTTTTCTTTTTTGTATCCCTGTCTAAATATATTA